CCAAAACCCCTAAACCCCTTAACCCTAAACCATAAACCGCAACCCAAAACCCTCAAGAGTTCAGGGCTTAGGGCTCCAAGGGTTTGTGGGTTGCAGGAGAATCCAGGATGGTCGGCCGACTACGCTCTGGCCCAAGCCTTCCAGGAGTACAATAATTTCGGCTTGGCCGCTCAATCGAGCGCCTTCAAGCTCGCAGAGCGGGAGCAGTTCGGAATAAAGGCCTACATATTGGATCCTAGAATACCTTAAACTTTAGAACCATACCACTGTCAAGTACTTTGGTCTTGTATCAGCAGCAGTTATGGTTGTGCCAGCCGAATATACATGGTATGGGAAATGTTGTCGTGGTCCTATCTAAGGTATGTATGTGGAACCAAACCAACATTGCCCTTGCAGGCCTTGGTCTTCGGGACGTGCGCCGAGGTGCAAACTCTGATGGCCAGACATTTGCAAGCCAACGTGTGGGCGAGCTCAGGCTGATCCTAAACCCCACACCCTTAAACCCTCCTAAACCCTAAACCCCTAAATCCTAAACCCTACACACGGAAGCCTGAATGTTAACGTGGCACACATCGAAACCCTGAAGCCTTAAGTGTTGTGAAACTCACCCCTAAATAAATCCTAAACCCTACGCGCGGAAGCCTGAATGTTAACGTGGCACACATCGAAACCCTGAAGCTCTAAGTGTTCTGAAACCACATTCCCAATTCGCCAGCCTTCACGGTGGAGCTGATGAAAAACAGCCGGTGGCTCCTCGGAGCCTGTGGCCGCAGCACGCAGCCTTGGTGGAAGAGTGTGGAGACGATGACGCCCGCAAAACAGGTGCTGTTTATGAAGCGTGTTCTCTTCGGCTTCCAGGTGAGACGCAAGCAAGTGAAGCACATCGCGACCGCTCGGCTCGGTGTTGAGCAATGGGAGCAGCTGGTGGAGTCAAGCTGCCTCCTCCAGCACGTCTTAGAGGAAATGCATGCAGCCACCCATGATGATGGCACTCCCATTTTCCCCCCGGCTAGCATCGAAAAGGCGGAACGACGCAGTGTGGAGGGGTTTCTTGAACTGAATCAGCGATGGCTTCGGAATTTGATGCTAGGGGTATTGTCGAGCACTACTAGCTGTAGTAGCAGGGCTGTAAAACTTGGAGGTTCTGCACGGTTCAACCATACAGGGCTTGAGTGCTCGGGGATTCTGGGTTTCGTTGGTCCTCTGTCTTCTACAAGCCCTTGCCTTGCAGCCCAGGGACTACGCGCCCAAGTTCCAGAACTTGGTCACGGCAAAGGTGGACATCGTCATGGCCGATCTCACGATTTGGAAGGCCCCGCTTTTTTGTCATCACCACATTATTTCAGCGATTGCTCAAGTCACCACACCACATGGTTTTGGCAGGTGCTCTTACTAACAATCACCACTAATGATGCCATGACCACAATATATCTTTGTTGCCACCACCACAACTTAAGTTGCCACCAACACATTCTGTGTTACCATCACCACATTTACATAGTATGTTTTCATCAGCACGTTTGCGGTGCTGCTTGTTGCCACCACCACAGCTGTCTCTTCTTGTTGCCATCACCACACCTGTCTTACCATCACCACATCCGTTGTCTCTGCCACATCTGCTGCCAGCGCCACGCCGCAGGTAGACACCTCTCGGAAAGGGTCGGGTTCAGAGGCTGCGGGGTTCTAGGGTAGTCAGGGTAGTCGGTTATTCTAGGGAGTTTGACTCCAGGGGAGGCAAGGCGTTTAGGGGTTTAGGGGTTAAGGTGTTGAGACTTGAGACTTTAAACTCAACTCTAAAGTTGGACCTACTGAGCTATTTGAACTTCGCTAACAACGAAGATTCCTGCCCTGGCCGAAGTGGCACCCAAGCCCGCCCATCACCGTGGCCCTTGACCCCCCCCCTTTAACACCCCTATAGGTCCTATACCCTAATAATCCTAGGACCACCTGCCAAGCACTGTTGCGTCTGCAAGTGGCGCGGCAATGCAGGGACAAGCCTTGGTCGAGGCTCTGGACTTGCAGAGCATCGAAAAATCCTTCGAAGCCGACTGCTTGAAAGTTGCCACAGACATGGCGGAGTATGCGCAGTACGTGACCCAGTGTGGGTCATCCGATCGGCAGGCTGCTGTGGCGAAGGTGCTGAAGCTCAAGGCGGAGCAGCGCCGAGGCTCACAGGCTGTCGTGGACTGGATGCTCCGGAACTGCAAGTTCATGGCCGGCGACTACACAGAGCACCACCTGGACATCGTCGAGGCCTGCAATCCCCTAATTTTCCCTTAATCTAATCAGGCCAAAATCTCAACTTGCCACCCTCGTTCAGTGGATCCAGAGCTCTTCGCCAGCCGCAGTGGTGGTCTGGGCGGACCTGAGCAAGTGCGGTGCCGTGCAGGCAGAACGGCTGGACGACATCCTTGAGGAAGGCAGGCGGGTGACCACTGCTTTCAGCAGAAAGGCCTGCCTTTTCGTGATCGGGCCCACCATCGCCAGCTCCAAGGTCGTTGCGGGCAAGCGAGGAGAGATCAGGTAGGGTTGAGGGTCTCAGGGTTTTGGGTTTGGCGGGTTCCTGGGTCTGTGGGTTTTAAGCTTCCAGGGATTTAAGGTTTAAGGTTTAGGGTTTAGGCTTTATAAGGGTTTATCTGGATTTAAGGTTTAGGGTTTATGGTTTAGGGGTTTAGGATGGGCCCAGCATTCCCGACAATTCCTTGTTCTTGCCCGAGTTCATAGTCCCTGACAGACGCATCGAAGACAAACTCGACGCCAAGGGCTTCTCGTCGGCCCTCGTCTCCCTCCGTATGGCCTCCGAAACCCACGGCAATCGCCGATTGCCCTTGGTGTTCCCAGCTTGGATGGCAATTCCTGATGGTGTGACGAACAGCATCTTCCAGGAATCACGCATGCTGGTTACGGAGTAGCTTGTCTATAAGCCAATAACTTACAGGGCTTCCCTCTGATTGGTGAACAACTCGACTCTATCCTTTGCCTGCACAACCCTGAACTGCGAAACTCGTAAGACTCTAACGTTTCAGCCCTAAACCCCATAACAAACACTAGGCCATAAACTCCATATGTACAACCCGAGTCTTCTAAAACCCGAGGAAAACAAATCATGCAATACCCTAAGTCCTAGAAACATTTTCACCCTAAACTCCTTCACTCCCAGGTGCACCCGAGCGGAAATTTCGTGGCTCCCTTGCAAGGACTACAAGGTGCCAAGAGCCAAGAACGCAGCCCCGGCCACGGCGGAGAACGAAAGGATACTTGCTACCGTAATTTGTCTCAGGCAGGGCTGACTTCTGTCTAAATCCCAAGCCGTGTTTTGTGGCAAGCCCAGAAATCCTACGAAAAAATGCCTTTCATCCCTAAACCGTAATCTTCGAGATAAACCCCAATACCCTATTACACTGTAGAGGATGATCTATTGGTTCTCCAACAACCCCCCCTCCCCCCCTCCCCCCCGCCCCCCACACCACAGCACTGACAAGTAGCTCTGACATCGAATAAACCCAAGCCGTGATACGCCCTCATGCTTGCTCCAAACCCCACTGCTTCTCAATACCCCCAAGCACTTTCTCGAGAATGACCGGAAACCCCGAAAGCAGTGTACTGCTTCCCCCGAAGAACATCCTGCATAACACTTAAACAAGTCCCAAAAGGAAGTCTGTTTCCCAAATTTAATTCCCGTGGCTTGAGGACATACATGTCTATAACAAACCCCAGAAGTGGCCTGTGCCAATTAGCTCGTCTCAGTCAATGCAACCCATCAATCCTGTCAACCCAAACTCCTAGTTCCGATACGAAGCAATCCCAGAGAGTGAAAACCTATATTGAAAAGACTAGGCTTATCGATTAAATCACGTGAACTCACGATTGAGCTGCCAAGGAGCTTTTCGGAAGCCCAATCCGCGGCGCAGATCTTGGGTGGGTTGTCCATGCCCACGGAAGTGTTGGATAGCATCCTCCAGGAGTGGGCTCGGGTTGCGATGGCTCTGGGGCTTGGGAAGAAGTGTAGGGCTGCTCTATTTGGACATGTTTTCAGGATGTTAAGATCGACAAGAAGTTTCCCGTGGCTGTGCTGAACCTGACTCCGTATGATGCATGCCTCGAGCGGGCATGTGTGAACAGCGGAGCCTCTGGAGGGCCCAGGCTGGGGAAAACTTAAACCCTTAAACTAAACCCTAAACCTGAATCCCTGTCACCTCTCGTCAATCCAGAGGATCACCAGCTACAGTGCGAGCCCAAAATCGTGCAAAACCAGACCTTGAAACTAAACCCTAAAGCTTAGTCCCTCTAGTCACCCCAGGATCCATCTTCAGGACCATCAGGTACACGCGAACCCCTGCAACCGCAACCCTTAATCCCTAAGCCCTGGACCTTATTGTAACCAATGTCACCCCTCATCCATCCTCAGGATTGTCAGCTACAGTGCGAGCCCCGAATCCGTGGAAGTACTGTTCGCACAGAGGCTCATGGCACAGAAGCTGCTCGAGGTCAGCTGCATAACTTCAGATCAAGTTTCTATGTTACTGTTGTGCGGCCTCTGATGTAATGCGCTGCACAGAAGTCCTTGTGTGCGAGAGGCTATTAAATGCTAGAGGGCTGAAGTCTTTGTGTGTGGTAGGGCCTCAGGTGTTTTCGTTTAGTCACAGAATTTCTTTGTGTGCGGCAGAGAAGTCTTTGTGTGCGACGCGGCCGGAGGTTTCTTGAGTAGTTGTATATTCAGGACTGGAAGAACGGTGGCCACACCCTTGGTAATGTGGCCAGCTATAATCCGGACCTCGAAGACGAATCCTCGTCAGGCAACGTGCAGCTCCCCAACTTTCTAGTCTGCAGTGTCGTAGACACGCCGGAGGGAAAGAAAACCCTGGCCTTGCCTGCTAGCTTCCGCAACAAGTGGGCCGACGACACCATCCGCCGGGAGAAGTGGGAGCGAGAGTTGGCAACATTCGATTCGAGGTGAGGGTTTAGAACCTGATGGTCGGTCAAGCATTGGTTGGGCTCCGGGGTTTGGGGTCTACGGCCCATATTGGCTCGTATCTCCCTTAAACCCAAACACTAAACTAAGCCCTAAACCCTAAACCCTGACTTCCTAGGCAATACTTAAAATATCTCACGGGCTAAGCCTTCAGAGACTCCTTATCCAGGTTTGGCCGAGTGGCTGCTGCCTCTCCAGCGCCCCTTGCAGCAGAGGCAGCGGCATCGGCGACGACGATGGACAGCTCCTGGCCGCAGGAGCCAAAGACCGTCACAGATCTTGACAACGTCTACGAGACGGTGAAGACGTGCCCAGGCCGGGTCGCCACGACTCTCTTAAAGGTGGTCAAGGCTGCCCCTCGCGATGGCACGGCAGCTCGGGATGTGGCGGAAGGACAAGTGAACAAGCTCTTCATTGCAGCTGCCTAAGAGATGGGATGGTTGTGGATTTTGCGTAACAACAATAGAGCAACGCTCTGCAATTAAATATGGAGTGCAAAGTAAGGTCGCCCTCGAGAACAACGTCAGCCTCTCCTCGCAGCAGTTCGTCATTGCACACGACCGAGCAACCTTTATGGCCCCAAACAAGATCCAGAAGCTGATGGAAAGCGGAGGACACTCTTTGGGCAGTCAGCGATCAAGTCAGGGTCCCCCTAAGCCTCTAAACCCTCAAATTATATCCTAAACCCATAATAAAGTTCCATTGTGATAGTTCCACCCGAGCTCACTTGCTGCAATAGCTGGCCGATTGCTGATTTAGATTGCCGCAGCAATTTTGCTTGTTACCCCAGTTACTGATAGTTTGTGGGGCTCCTTGCTGCTGCTTTCGAAGACAGCAAAGCTCCTAGTGACGATGATGAACGGTGCCGAAGACTTGTTTACCTTCTTGCAAGAGTCGCAAGATGGCCTGCTTCTCGAAACGCCCGTGCGGGCGCACCAGAGCCAGCAGCCCCGGACCTCAGCCCAGACATCTCCCTCGTTCTCTGCAGACCGCAAGGTTAAGACAGAGCATGTTTTGAGTCCTACTGGATCCACTACGACACCGGCATCCACGACTCCGGCGACATCCCCGCCTTCCACTCCTAGTTCTTCCGTTGAGGCCAGACGAGGCTTTGTGAAGAAGCCAACGGGGTTCTCCAACCTGATCCCTGCCTACCGAAGCCTTTCCACCAACAGCCTCGACTCAGCCCAGACTCCGACGAAGGAGGATTTGCAGGCTTTAGAGCATAATATTTGCAAGGCCAAAGCAGAGGTTGAGAAGACGAGCAAGTCCGAGAAGAATCCCGCCAAGGAGGGAGCTGAGCCGAAGGAGCGAGACCCCTAAACCTGTACCCTACAGCCAAAAGCTAAAACCCTAAACCCTAAAGTCTTAAGGTTTAGAGCACTTAGGGTTTGGTTTGTTGCCTGGTTTAGGCAGGCTGGACTTTCAGACATTGACATTTCAGCTCCAATTTCATCTTCTTGAATAAAGGAAGTTGAAGGCTTCCCTGCATTTCCATTAATCTACGACAAGCTGGGCAATTACATTATCTGCGGTCTTCAAGGTAGTTCTTTTATAAAGGGCATGGCTAGGCTGGCTTTGTTCATGAATGGCTATGGAATCATAGGAGTAACAATTCCAGGACCGCACAGTATGACTGCCTTGAACTTCCTCCTCAATCCGAGAAATGCCCGACATCAAACCCTTTAAACCAAACCCTGATTGAACCCTAAACCCAAAACCCTCAACCCTCAACCCGTAACCTTAAACCCTAAACCCTAAACCCTTAAAACCTAACCCTAGATCATTGTGAGCTCACCACGCAGGAGACGAGGAAGCCTGGCCCCAAGAAGAAGGGCCAGGATGGGAGAGTCGTGACCCATGCCATGCGTAGGGCCTCTTCAGGCGATGCTGTGGAGCTGAGTGCGGCGATTAAAAGCTTGACGCTTTCGCCAGCAGACCACAAGAAGGCTCCGAAGCCCAAGAGGGCACCACGTGCCAAGAAGGCTGTGTCAGAAGAGGACGATGCCGCCGAGCAAGCCGAAGCCGATGGTGATGAGGACGAGTGCTCCGACGTGCCGAGCAACGAGATGTTGGACAGTGACGAAGAAATCAACCAAGCCGAGAAGAATGAGGAGAAGTCGGGGCCAGGCTCCAAGAAGGGCGCCACGGCTGCCAAGAAACTGGCCAACGCGAAGGCGAAGGCCAAGAGCGCAAGCAAGTCCAAAGGCGACGCGACGGCAAAAGCCCAGGCCAGCGCCAAGGCGAAGACCGGAAAGCGTGCTCAGGGCTTGTGCAGGGCCGAAGGTGAGAAGGATGCTGGCGAGAAGAAGACCATCATGGACAGCCATCTCGGCAGGACTTGGTTGAGCTTCAGGGAGGAGCAGCTCAAGAGCTTGAGCGAGACAAATCCGGAGATGAAGTACCAGGACAAGCTCAAGACCATCGCTACCAGGTTGGCTTGTTTGGGGAAACCATTAACCTACTAGTATTATTCTTGTTATTGTTATTATTACTATTATTATGAGGATTGTTATTGTCATTAATGTGAGAATTATTAGGAATTGATAGCCCACCATAAGCGCCGGCCAAAACCAAACCCTTTATGCATTAGTCTATATAAACCCTAAACCTACACCCCGAAACCCTAAACCTCAAAACCTAAAGTACGACTGTACTGTTCGGGTCTAGGCCTTTGTTAAGCCTTGGGAGTGGTGTTTGTGTATGTCCATGGAAACCATAAAACCTAAACCTTAAACCAGCTAGTTTAAAATCGATCCCAGGCTACAAAGCTTTGAAGTCTGATTCGTGATAACACACGGAAGCAACTACTGTAGACTTGTGAAGCCATTGAGATGTGCCCGATAGGATAGTTCAATTAAAAGGCCAGAACCCTAAACCCTAAACCCTAACGACCAAGCTTGCGGCCAGGTGGAAGGGTCATCCGGCAAGGCTGGCGGCTGCGAAAGGTCTGAGCACCAACGAGCTTAAGCGCCGCCGCTGGGGTTAGGTAGTTAGTTTTGGGTTTTAGGGGTTGATCCCGGATGTGCACCGCGAATCCTAGATGATGCTTCTCAGCTATGGGATGCAAACATAATCCAAGTTGGGTTTGATGGAGATTGGCACCGCATTCCGGGTGAGGGTTTCGCTCACATGTGAGCCGACCGACGTGCATTCATACGGAATGACGATCGACGTTTGAACAATTATTTTGATGGCCTCAAGTCACAGGCCAGTTGCAACTGAAAGCTTTCTTCGAAGCTTTAATGTCTCCGGAGCTCTGATTACGCAGTTGGTGGGGCGAAAGAAAAGTGGGACAGCTGTCTTTGTCAAGTAGCCAAAGGCCAGAACTTAAAAGCTAAAGCTCTTCGATTATGAATCATCAAATCAAAGCCAATCAGGTTTTAGTTTTTATAAAACCATACTGAAGATTGAGCCTGCCACCACTTTTCATGTAGCAGTAAAGCTGTGCCTCACAACCGCAGGAATCCTTAAAGTACCCCAGCCACCATACTAAACCCTAAACCGCCATACAAAAACAAGCCCATCTGAGCAGGAGTGATGAAGGATCCGAATGCCATCCCGTGTCGCTGGGAGAACGACCAGGCCATTGTCGTTCTCGAAGTGAACGAGGACCAGCCGGAATGTTGGGATTGCAGACAGCTGGGGGGAGGTTTACGGGCTTGTTGTTGACGTTTAGGGTCGTAGTCTTTATGGGTCCAGGCTCCGGGACTTTAAGGGGTTGGGTCTTTTGAGTTTAGGGTTTTGGGTTTAAAGTAGGGGCGAGAAATTAAGGGTTTCGGATGCTAAATCAAAGTTTAGGTTTCACATCACGGGGTCTTCGACTCGAGATGTTGATGTTTGCAGCTTCGGTTCCTTTATAAATTAGCTTGCAAGGGCTACTGGGATCAGGGAGTTTGCGCAGTCACGGCCTTTGAAATGTTGGGGTTGATAGCTCGGGTTGTAGTCCTGAGCTCATGTATTCCGGGGTATTATGGTTTGGGGCAACACGTGGACGATTGCTTGTTTAGGGGATGGTTTGAAGGTTGAAAAAATACGCTCGGCCCCTTCCGAGGGCCTAGCCTTCGTGTCGAGCTTTGCTAGCACCCTGACAAAATGAGTAATTGAATCTTAACTCGTATAATGAAGCCAATGTACTTGAAGCATTTTGGCACACCGCACACATCCGTTGCTAGTAGTTGAATTCATTCCAGGACTGACTCTAGTATGTTAAGCACAGTGGTGCTATGGAATTTTTGGTATTATCTCCAATCGTGTAAGACCTAAGCATCGACCATATGCCCTTAAAGCCTTGAAGGGGGACACTCGGTGCTTGAAAATGCCCGGATGAAATGATTCGTCAAATGATGACACCACGGCCAAGACTACAAGAACATCGTGTCAGAGCCCATTGTTGACACTTTACGGAGGCACGTAATCTGCAGCGGCAAAGACATGATGACGACGATGTCACCTTTGGGTTGTTAACCTAACCCTGAAGTTGAAGCCGATTTCTCAACAACCCCAAGCCTGAACCCCTAAACGGCGCACCTCCCTGTACCCTAAACCCTATACACTTTAAATTTACGT